GCTGGTGGCAGTGGCACTGTCCCTGTCAAGGACAGCTCATCCGGGGGCAGTGTCACCGTCCCGGTCAGGGACAGCCCCTCCAAGGCCAGTGGCACTACTGGGGACAGGCCTGTCACCAGGAGTGCCACTGTCCCTGTCAAGGCTGGTCCATCCAGGGCCAGTGCCACCACTGGGGACAGGCCAATCAGTGGTGCCACTGTCCCTGTCAAGGACAAGCCTGTCACCAGCAGTGCCACCACCCCTGTCAAGGACAGCTCACCCAGGGCCAGTGGCACTGTTGGGGACAGGCCTGTCACCAGGAGTGCCACCATTCCCATCAGGGACAGCCCAGCTGGTGGCAGTGCCACCGTCCCTGTCAAGGACAAGTCGGTCACTGGCAGTGCCACCATCTCTATCAAGGACAACTCACCCAGGGCCAGTGCCAGCACTGGGGACAGGCCGGTCACCAGGAGTGCCACTGTCCCCGTGGCTGGAGGCAGTGGCAGTGTCAGTGTCCCTGTCAAGGCCAGTCCGTCCAAGGGAAGTGCCAGCACTGGGGACAGGCCAGTCAGTGGCAGTGGCACCGTCAGGGACAGCCCAGCGGGTGGCAGTGCCACTGTCCCTGTCAGGGACAGCTCATCCCAGGGCAGTGGCACTGGGGACAAGCCTGTCACTGGCAGTGCCACCGTCCCTGTCAGGGACAGCTCACCCAGGGCTAGTGGCACTGTTGGGGACAGGCCTGTCACCAGGAGTGCCACTGTCCCCACAGCTGGTGGCAGTGCCACCGTCCCTGTCAAGGCCAGTCCATCCAGAGGCAGTGGCACTGGGGACAAGCCAGTCATTGGTAGTGCCACTGCTGGGGACAGGCCTGTCACCAGGAGTGCCACCATTCCCAGCAGGGACAGCCCAGCTGGTGGCAGTGCCACCGTCCCTGTCAGGGACAGCTCATCCCAAGGAAGTGCCACCACTGGAGACAGGGCAGTCGGTGGCAGTGCCACCATCCCTGCCAAGGACAGCACAGCCAGTGGCAGTGTCACTGTCCCTGTCAAGGACAGCTCGTCCACGGGCAGTGCCACCACTGGGGACAGGCCAGGCAGGGGCAATGGCAGTGTCCCCATCAGGGACAGGTCACCCAGAGATGGTGGCAGTGGGGACAGGCCAGGCAGGGGCAGTGCCACCATCCCCATCAGGGACAGGTCACCCAGGGCTGGTGGCAGTGGGGACAGGAGCCGTGGCACACCTGGGGACAGGCCGGTTAGTGGCAGTGCCACCATGCCCGTCAGGGACAGCACAGCCAGGGGCAGTGCCAACCCTGGGGACAGGCCAGGCAGGGGCAGTGCCACCAGAGACAGTGGCAGTGGGGACAGACCGGGCAGGGGCAGTGCCACCATCCCCGTCAGGGACAGGTCACCCAGAGACAGTGCCACCACCGGGGACAGGCTGGGCAGGGGCAGTGCCACCGTCCCCGTGGAGCACAGGCCGGTCAGGGGTGGTGGCACCGTCAGGGACGGGCTGGTCAGGGGCAGTGCCACTGTCACCATCAGGGACAGCTCAGCTGGTGGCAGTGCCACTGTCCCTGTTAAGGACAGGTCACCCAGGGCCAGTGACAATGGGGACAGGCCGGGCAGGGGCAGTGCCACCATCCCTGTCAGGGACAGCACAGCCAGGGCCACTGCTGTTGGGGACAGGCCAGGCAGGGGCAGTGCCACCCCTGGGGACAGGTCAGTCACTGGTAGTGGCACTGTCCCCATCAGGGACAGGTCACCCAGGGCCGGTGGCGGTGGGGACAGGAGCCATGGCACACCTGGGGACAGGCCGGTTAGTGGCAGTGCCACCATGCCCGTCAGGGACAGGCCACCCAGAGCCAGTGGCAGTGGGGTCAGGCTGGTCAGGGACAGTGCCACCATCCCCATCAGGGACAGGTCACCCAGGGCCACTGACACTGGGGACAGCCCAGCCAGGGACAGTGGCACTGTCAGGGACATGCCAGCTGGGGACAATGGCACTATCAGGGACATGCCAGTCACTGCCAGTGCCACTGTCCCCACTGAGGACAGGCCGGTCACTGGTACTGCCACTGTCCCTGTTAGGGACAGCCCAGCTGGGGACAGTGGCACTGTCCCCATTGAGGACAGGCCAGTCTCTGGCAGTGCCACTGTCCCTGCTGAGGACAGGCTGGTCACAGACAGTGGCACCGTTGGGGACAGGCTGGTCACAAACAGTGGCACCGTTGGGGACAGGCTGGTCACTGACAGTGGCACCACTCCTGTCAGGGACTGCCCCTCCAGGGACAATGGCACTCCTGGGGACAGGCTGGTCGCTGGCAGTGCCGCTGTCCCCGTCAGGGACAGCCTATCCAGGGGCACTGCCACCATCGTGGACACGCCCGTCACCGCCAGTGCCACCATCCCAGTCAGGGACAGCCCATTCTGGGCCAGTGGCACCATTGGGGACAGCAGTGCCACTGTCCCCGTCAGGGACTGCCCATCCAGGGGCACTGCCACCATCGTGGACGCGCTGGTCACTCTCAGTGGCACCGTGATGGACAGGAGGATCCTGGGCAGTGTCACCGTGCCCGTCAGGACCAGCCTGTCCAGGGGCACTGTCACCATCGTGGACACGCCCGTCTTTGTCAGTGCCACCGTGCTGGTCGGGGAGTCCATCCCCAGGGTCACTGCCACCATCGTGGAGTCCAGGGTGCCCGGCCATGCCAGCCTCGCCCTCGGGGACACGCTGGCCTGTGGCACTGCCACCATGCCTGTCAGGGACTGCCCGCCCAGGGGCAGTGCTGCTGTCCCCAGTGGGGACTGCTCAGGACGGGACAGTGCCACCAGCCCTGGGGACAGGCCTGGCAGTGCCACCACCCCTGACAGGGAGTGCCCATCCAGGGACAGTGCCACCCCAGGGGACAGGCCTGGCAGTGCCACCATCCCCGACAGGGACTGGTCAGGAAGGGGCAGTGCCACCCCCGGGGACAGGCCTGGCAGGGACAGTGACACCATCCCTGACAGGGACTGGTCTGGCAGGGGCAGTGCCACCCCTGAGGACAGGCATGGCAGTGACAATGCCACTGTCACCATCAGAGAGTGCCCATCCAGGGACAGTGCTACCATTGGGGACAGGCCTGGCAGTGCCACCATCCCCGACAGGGATTGGTCTGGCAGGGGCAGTGCCACCCCTGAGGACAGGCCTGGCAGTGACAGTGACACCATCCGTGACAGGGACTGGTCAGGAAGGGACAGGGCCACCGTGTCAGACAGAGAGTGCCCGCCCAGAGACCGTGCCACCCCCGGGGACAGGCCTGGCAGTGCCACCATCCCCGACAGGGATTGGTCTGGCAGGGGCAGTGCCACCCCCGGGGACAGGCCTGGCAGGGACAGTGCCACCATCCCTGTCACGGAGTGCCCGCCCAGGGGCATTGCCACCATTGGGGACAGGGACAGGCCTGGCAGTGCCACCACTGGGGACAGACCTGGCAGTGCCACTGTGCCCTCCAGGCCCATCACGCCCGCCCGTGTCAGTGTCATCAGGGATGGCAGGACGGGCGCCAGGGTGGCACCGTGGGGTCACAGCCAGGCCGGGTCCCCTCTTAGCGAGGGGACACGCGAGGGACACGCGGGGGCGGGCACAGGGACGGGGTCCCCTGCGTCACACCAGTAAAAACCAGTCACTCCAGTGCGGCTGTCGTGTGTGTGTGAGCCCGGGCACTGGGAGGGGACAGGGAAGGGGACATTGGAACTGGGAGGGGACACCGGCACTGGGAGGGGACAAGGGCAATGGGAAGGGACATTGGGAGTGGGAGGGAGACATTGGGAATGGGGAGGGGGACACGGGCACTGGGAGGGGACATTGGCACTGGGAAGGGGACACCGGGAGCGGGACACTGGGAGTGGGGAGGCGACACGGCGCAGTGGAAGAGGACACGGACAAGGAGGACAACAAGCCGTGCCACCCCCCCGGGGTGGTGACAGCGACAACCGAGGCGATTTTCTCCCCCAAAATCTCCGATTTTCGTCCAACGCGGAACCCTAGCGAGGCCACGCCCCCAAACACACCGAGACCACGCCCTCTTCACACTACCACGCCCATTTCCGTATACGCTTTGCCGACCACGCCCCTTTACGTCATGACGTAACACCCTCATTACATAGAGCCTACAGACCGCGCCCAGTGCCCATATAAGCTCACAAACCACGCCCACACCACCATATAAGGATACAAACCACGCCCAGCGATGCCCCGGCGGCGCAGGCCACGCCCCCCTCGCCGCGCCGCCGGGCCGCCAGGGGGCGCTGTGTGGCGGCGGCCGCCCCTCAGCCCCGTGAGGCGGCGCCGGGCCGGGCCTGGGGAGGCTCCGAGCGGCCCCGCTGCACCGGCCCCGCTGCCCCCGGCTCCCTGCCGGCCCCTCCGCTCCTCCCCGCTCCCCCGAGGTGAGCCCGGCCTCTCCGAGCCCTCTCCGGCCTCTGCGCGGCCTCTTCCAGCCCCCTCAGCCCGGTCCCCACGGCGGTTCCGCGGCCGCTCCGTGTCCGGCCTCGCCGCCTCCTCCTTCTCCTGATTCCCCCCGCGGCCTCCGCCAGCGCTTCGTGGCGCAGGAGCCGGCCAGGAAATTCGCCTTTTCCTCGATTTTTATGGTGATTTCTGAGGGTTTTTTTCGCCTTTTCCCCCTCAGCAGCAGCCGCCGGTGCCCGGGATGAGCCGCCCGCGCCGGCCTCAGGGCCGGGCTCGCCGAGCGGAGCCTCGCGGCATGGGATCGCTCCAGGTACCTCATCCCTAACCTTTTGCCTCTTTTAATTTATTTTTTCCCCCACATAATTCCTCCCAAAGCCCCGGGGAAGTGGCGCAATTCCCATTCCAGAGCCTTTTCCAGCCTCTTTTCCTCATGAGGGATTTGCCAACCCTTCCCCCCCCCCCGCCCCTCCCGGGGCCATCTGGTGCCTCTGGGAGCTTTGGAATTGCCCAAAATCCCCTCTTAAATTCCATGGATTACGTAAAATTTGGGATTGGTGAGGGTCACTCATCCCCTGGAAAATGTTTTCCCTGGAAAACTTCTCCTGGAGTTGGTGGGAAGTTGTATAATGAGAAATAATTACGTTTAATCCCTTTTTATTCCCCCTGCTTCCCCTGAATCCGTGAGGGAATAACCGGGTGGAAAATTGGATTTCCCATTTTTTTTTTTTCCCTGTGCTGGAAAAGTTTTTGAAGTTTTGGAGTCGTTCCTGTTGTGGATCTCATGGATCTGCTCCTGCAAACAGTCCCTGATTTTTATTTTTTTTGCTTGGAATTCTGAGTGGGATTTTAGGGCTCTGCTCTATAAAATTCCTGGGAGATTTCTGCTCCTGGAATTCCTGGATGATCCCTGCTCCAGGAATTTCTGGATAATTTCTGGAATTCCTGGATAATTTCTGGGATTCCTGGGTGATTTTTGCTCCAGGAATTCCTAGATATTTTCTGGGATTCCTGGGGATTTCTGCTCCTGAAATTCCCGGATAATTTCTGGGATTCGTGGCTAATTTATGGAATCCCTGGGTGATTTTTTGCCTCCTGGAATTCCGGGCTGATCCCTGCTCCAGATTTCCCGGATATTTTATGATCCCACAGTTCAGGGTCCATGCTTGGATCATCCCGGGAGCCGCCCTTGGGATCCAGGTGGGAATTTGGATTCCTGATTTTTTTTTCCCCTGATTTTTTTTTCCCCCCCTCTGCCTTTTCCCAGTTTATTTCCCAACCTTTGGGGTGGAAAAAAAACAAAAAACCAAACTTGGAAAGCCTCAAAAAGCGGGAATTTGTCTAGGGAATGTGATCCATAAGAAGAGGGAATTCCAGGATTGTGGGGTTGCTCCAGGTTTAGGAATCCTGCGGGATTTTTGGGAAGAGGAAAAAACTTTGGATCTGTTTTTTTGGGATGAGGGAAGGGAGGGAATCCCTGGAATTTTGGGGTGTCTTTGAATCTGGGATTGGGACAAAAGAAGAAAGTCTTGGATCTGTGGAAAAACAGGGATGGGAATTGTGGGAAAATGCAGAATCCTGAATTTCCACCCCCGTTTTTTTGGGATTTGTTGAAAAATCCGAGCATCAGGGATTTTTTTTCTGGCTCTCGTGGGGTTTTTTGGGATCTAAGAGCCACAGAAATGTCAGGAATGTGGGATTTGGAGTGAAACTCTCAGACTTTGATCAGGATTTGGGCATCTGGGGTTTCTTGGGAAAAAATGGGAAAAAAATAAAGGAAAAAAAAGGAAAAGTGAAATCTGGGGAGTGACCTTGGTTTCACTCACTTGGAATATTTAGAGAGAATTCCTGAGGGTTTTGTTTCCCTTTTCTTTGGGAGTTGGAAAAGTAAAGGGATAAACAAGGAAAAAATCCCGTCCCTAATCCCTGATTTTTTCCCAATTTAATGCCAGGTTCCCCCCAGTTTAATGTAAATTGTTTCCCAAATGAATATAAATTTTTTCCCAATTTAATCAAAATTGTTTCATAATTTAGTCCTGATTTTCCCCCAATTTAGTCCTGATTTTTACCAGTTCAATGTCAACTATTCTCAATTTTCCCCAATTTAATCCAGATTTATTCCCAGTGTAATCCAATTTTTTCCCCCAATTTAATGCCAATTTAATGCCAAGTTTTTCCCAATTTAATCCAAATATTTTCCCAATGTAAAGCCAATTCTTCCCAATTTAATCCAAATTTTTCCTCATATTTTCCCAATTTAATCCCATTATTTTCCCCAATTTGACCACATTTTTTCCCCAATTTAACCCAAATTTTCCCCAATATAGTCTTGATTTTCCCCCAATTTAACCCCGATTTCCCCCAGTGTAATCCCGATTTTTCTCCCATTTTAACCCCGATTTCCCCCAATTTAACCCTGACTTCCCCCCAATTTAATCCTCATTTTCCCCCCATTTATTGCCAGTTTTCCCCCATTTTAACCCCGATTTCCCCCAGTTTACCCCCATTTTCGCTCTAACCCCACTGCCCCCTTCCCCAGCTCTGAGCCGCGCCGCCCTCCCTCCACCATGGGCGACTCAGCCACGGCCTCTCCCGTTGGGAAAATCCCCGCGGAGCCCAGCGATTCCCGAGGCACCGGCACCGGCACCGGGACCAGCACCGGGACCGGCACCGGCACCGGCACCGGCTCCGCCCTGAGCGTCATCAGCGAGGGCGTGGCCGAGCTGGCCCTCATCGACGCCGAGGTGGCCAAGAAGGCGTGCGAGGAGGTGCTGGAGAAGGTGAAACAGCTGCACGGCTCCGCCATTCCCAACGGCGCCGGCTGCCACATCCGCTGCCTGGACGAGGCGCCCGGCGCCCGCATCCAGGAGGAGGAGGAGGAGAGCGCGGGCGCCGCCAGGACGGCCCGCAAGCGCCAGCACCAGGCCAAGCAGTCGTGGCTGCTGCGCCTCTTCGAGTCCAAGCTCTTCGACATCTCCATGGCCATCTCGTACCTGTACAACTCCAAGGAGCCCGGCGTGCAGGCCTACATCGGGAACCGCCTCTTCTGCTTCCGCCACGACGACGTGGACTTCTACCTGCCGCAGCTGCTCAACATGTACATCCACATGGACGAGGACGTGGGCGACGCCATCAAGCCCTACATCGTGCACCGCTGCCGCCAGAGCGTCGACTTCTCGCTGCGCTGCGCGCTGCTGCTGGGCGCCTACTCGTCCGACATGCACATCTCCACGCAGCGGCACTCGCGCGGCACCAAGCTCCGCAGGCTCATCCTCTCCGACGAGCTGAAGCCCGCGGCCAGGAGGAGGGAGCTGGCGGCCGGAGCTGCTGCAGGTGCAGCTGCAGGTGCCGCAGGTGCGGACACGGGGCTGTCGCCGTCCAAAAGGACTCACCAGAGGTCCAAGTCGGACGCCACGGTGTCCATCAGCCTGAGCAGCAACCTGAAACGCACGGCCAGCAACCCCAAGGTGGAGAGCGAGGAGGAGGTAACTCCTGCGGGAATTCTGTGGGGCTGGCACTTGGGATTCATCCCAGAGATCCTCTGGGGCTGGGGTTGTGCTCCAAGGCCCAGGGAACTGGGAAAATCCCGTGGTTGTTCCTTGGGATTCATCCGAAAACCGATCCAAAGAGGTGGAAGTGCCTTGGGATTCATCCCAGAGATCCTCTGGGGCTGGGGTTGTGCTCCAAGGCCCAGGGAACTGGGAAAATCCCTCGTTGTTCCTTGGGATTCATCCCAGAAATCCTTCAGGGTCCTGGTGGTGCCTTGGGATTGATCCCAAATTTCCCCTGGGATCGGGGTTGTGCTCCAAGGCTGGGATCCCACTTGGAATTCCAAGGCGGGAAAGGAGCCCCCAGCTGGTGCTGGGAGCAGATTTTGGGATCTGCACTTCCCAAATCCGGGAAAAACGAATTTTCCAGAGGGTGGAATCCACCCCTGGGAAACTGGGAATGACTGGGATTGACTAGGAATGGCTTGGAATGGTTGGGAATTCCCAGGAATTCCCTGGAAATGGATCAGAAACCCGAGGTTTGGTCCCCCTGGGAATCCTTGGAAGGAGCCAAGGATTGTTCCACACTCGGGCAGTTGGGAGAGGGATGGAAGGAAGGGTTGGGAAGGAATTTTCCAGGCTGGATTCGGGATCAAAACAACCCCGGAAAAAAACCCGGGGCCGTTCCCGCCGGGATGAATTTTTAACATGGAAAAGGAGGAGGCAGAAACCGGAGCTTTCCCATAAATTATGGATGAGGAAACTCCTGGAAACGATCCAGAAAAAAATGGGAAAGCACAGAACCAGCCCGGGGTCCCCAATATCCTTCAAAAATCCCGGAATTCTTGGCAGCTCTGGGTGATTTTCCCTCCGGAATCCAGGAATTCCCAGAGGAAAAAAAAGCAGGGGAAATTGCTGGGGAATGATCCCAAAATTCATCAGGGGAGGGAAAATTTGGGGTTATTTCCCATCAGTTTTCCCCCCAGGTGGGATCCAGACCTGGTTGTCCCTTTTTTTTTTTTTTTTTTAATTTTTGGGAATTTTAGCCCCAAAATTCCCTTTTTTTTTATGGAATGAAGCTTCACTGGAGGAAGAAAAGCCTGGATTGGTGGACTCCAAGTGGTGGAATTTTGGGATGTTTGGGATGGGAATCCCTTGGGGTGGAAATGTGGGAATGGCAGGAAAGCTTTGGCTAAATCAGGAATTTCCCAGTGATAAAAACATCCTCAAAAATCGGGATTTTGGGAATTTCCTGGATCGTTTCCATGGGATGATGTGGTGAAGTTCGGGATAATGAGAAATCCAGGGAAGGAAAAAAGCAAACGTGGATTTGGTGATGGAAAAGGTGAGAAATCCAAGGAATTCGGAGCTGGATCCATGCTGGTCCTCCCAGGGTGGGATAATGAATCCCAGAGAGGAGGAAAACCGGGAAAATCCCGGGAATTCAGCTCCACTTTGATCCCATCCCGCTTGAGATCCGTGGAATTTTCCTGCCTGGAATTTTTCCTGGAAAAATCCACAGGAATTCCAAGGGGCCGGGATAAAAAAAATAAAATAAAATAAAATAAAATAAACCCACCAAAAACCCTTGGGAATTGCTGGAAGTGAACCTGCAGCTGAACTTTGCTCTCTCTCCCCCTTTTCCCTTCTCCTCCCTCTCTTCCCTATGGAAAAAATTCCCCAAAAATTCTGTCCCAAATCCCCCCCCTTTTTTTTTATTTTTATTTTATTTTTTCCTGCTTTTCCCAGGAATTCTCCTCGAGTACGGAAAGCCTGGATAAATCCCTGGCTCCCGTAAGTTCCAATCCCTTTTTTTTTTTTTTTTTTTTTTTTTTTTCCAGAGGTTCCCTCTTCCCTCCACAGCATTTCCTCCATTTCCACCCCTCTGGAATTTCCCAGCATTCCTCAAATATTCCCAGAAAAAAAACAAAAAAAACCCAAACTCAAAAAAATCCCGGTGTCGCTGCCACGACGTTTCCTCGGAATGGAAATTCCAGGAAAATCCAGGAAAATCCCGTTTTTCCCACCAAAATCCATCTGGGAATGAGGAAATTCCCACTTTTCCTGCTTTTCCCAATTTTCCCTTGCAGGTGGAAGAGGAAATGCTGTTTTCCCTTGGAATTTGGCTCCCAAAATTCTCAGCCAGATGGGATTAATTTGCTTTTTTCCCCCTTTTTTTTTTTTCCCTGCCAATCATTCCTTGATTTAATTCTTTTAATTTTTCCTTTTTTTATTCCCCATGAAAATTCCAATCGAATCCTGGCGTTTTTCCTGATTTTTCTCTCCACAATGAGCCCTTCTCCTGTTTTTTTTCCATTGTTTTTTTCTTTTTTTTGGAATCTTTCCCTCTATTCCCGGTGGGAATGTGTAGTCCATGATTTCCTCCAGCACGAGGGTTTTTTTGGGAAGAATTCCATGATTTTTTTTTTTTAAAGCCTTTCTGGGAATTCCTGGATTCCAACCCAGCTCTGATCCTGCTGGGAATTCCCAGGGACCCTTCCCATGCCTGGATTTGGGAATTTTGTCGGGATTTGATCCCAAATTTTGGGCTCATCCTAAATCCCGTTGTTTTTTTAGGGATGATGGGATGCTTGGGCTGAGCTCCAAGCCCTGAATCCTGGAATTCTGACATTCCCCAGAGCAGAAATCCGGGAATTTTCCCTCAGAAAAATCCTGGAATTCTGACATTCCCCAGAGCAGAAATCTGGGAATTTTCCCTCAGAAAAATCCTGGAATTCTGACATTCCCCAGAGCAGAAATCCGGGAATTTTCCCTCAGAAAAATCCTGGAATTCTGACATTCTCCAGAGCAGAAATCCAGGATTTTTCCATTAAAAAAAAAATAAAAATTCCAGAATTCTGACAGTTTTTGCAGGAATGGGATTCAAACCCATGGAGAGCTGAAGGAATTTTTGGGATTGGGAACCTCTGGAACATTTCTCCCGTTATCCCGGAATTCCTGAGGAATTTTTGGGCTTGGACTACAAATCCCAGCGGATTCCCAGCCGGGAATTCCCATCCTGATCCTCCTTTCCCTGATTTTTTCCCCCAATTCTTTCCTTTTGCTCTGCAATATTCCCGATTTTTCCGGCTTTTTTTTCTGTTTGTTTTTTCCCGATTCTGCATGTGCCTTCTCCAGCATGATCCCGAAAAATCAGCCCGTGCTTCTTCCCAGATTTTGGGAATGTGGAGTGGAAATTTGGGATCCACGTGGTGGGAATCTTGCATTCCAAGGGAAATCCCAAATCCCTGTGGGATTGGGATGCCAGGGGAGGGGCAAGGGGAGGATTTCAGGATAATCCCAAAATCCTGGGATCCCAAATCCGGGGAATTTGGAGGGGCTGGGAGTGAGGATCCTCCCAAATCCCAGGGATCCAGATGATCCCAAATCCTGGGAATCTGGAAAATCCCAAATCCCAGGAATCCGGCCAGGACTGGGAGATCCCTCTGGGAATGTCAGCGCTGGAATTCCAGGGGGATGGAAAAAACTCAGGGATCCTGCTCTGCTGGGGGAGGGATGGGATGGGAACCCCAAATTTCTGGGAAGAGGGAAGAGCAGGGAAAAGGGAAGGATGGGAAGAGGGAAAAGTGGGAAGAGGGAAAAAGTTGGGAAGGGGGAGGATCAGGAATTTGCTCCCACTGAAAAACCACCAACATCAGCTCCATTTTCCCTCCTTTTTTCCCCAAATTTTAGTTTTTCATCCCAATCCTTTTCCAGCCAGTCCAGGGTGGGAAGAGGGAAGAGCAGGAAAAGAAAAGAGGGAGAAGCAGGAGAAAGGGAAGAGCAGGAAAAGGGAAAAGCAGGAATTTGCTGCCACTGAAAATCCACCACCATCACCTCCATTTTCCCCCTGTTTTCCCAACCTTTTCCCCTGGGATCCCGGCCTTTTCCCAGCTGGTCCAGCTGGCTCTGGAGCAGGGAAAGGGAAGAGCAGGAAGAGGGAAAAGGGGAGGACAGGGAAAGGGAAAAGGGAAGAGCAGGAAAAGGGAAAGGGAAGAGCAGGGAAAGGGAAAAAGGAAGAGCAGGGAAAGGGAAAAGGGAAGGACAGGAAAAGGGAAAAGGGAAGAGCAGGGAAAGGGAAAAGGGGAGGACAGGAAAAGGGAAAAAGGAAGGACAGGAAAAGGGAAGATCAGGGTTTTGCTCCCACTGCAAATCCAGCACCGTGACCTCCATTTTCCCCCCGTTTTCCCAATTTTCCCCCCCTGATCCCGGCGCTGCCCCAGCCGGCGCGGCTGGCCCCGGAGCGCGAGTTCATCAAGTCTCTGATGGCCATCGGGAAGCGCCTGGCCACGCTGCCCACCAAGGAGCAGAAGACGCAGAGGCTGATCTCGGAGCTGTCCCTGCTCAACCACAAACTGCCCGCCCGCGCCTGGCTGCCCACGGCCGCCTTCCAGCACCACGTGGTCAGGGTGCCCCACTCGCAGGCCGTGGTGCTCAACTCCAAGGACAAGGTGGGGGACAAAGGATTGGGGTTTGGGGTGGGGATAAATGGGAATGGTGAGGGTTCCTGGGATTGGGAATGGTGAGGGTTCCTGGGATTGGGAATGGTGAGGGTTCCTGGGATTCCAGCACCACGTGGTCAGGGTGCCCCACTCGCAGGCCGTGGTGCTCAACTCCAAGGACAAGGTGGGGGACAAAGGATTGGGGTTTGGGGTGGGAAAGGAGGGATTGGGGATAGTGGGAGGGCTGGGGGTGGCGATTCCTGGATTTTCCTTTATTCCCCCCGACGTTCCCCCTTTCCCCAGGCCCCGTACCTGATCTACGTGGAGGTTCTGGAGTGTGACAATTTCGACACGGCCAGCGTCCCGGCGCGCATTCCCGAGAACCGGATCCGCAGCACGCGCTCGGCCGAGAACCTTCCGGAATGCGGCGTGGGCGCGGAGCCGCGCGCCGGCGCCTTCAGCACCGTGCCCAACTACGACAACGACGACGAGGCCTGGTCCGTGGACGACATCGTGGAGCTCCAGGTGGAGGTGGGCACCGCCCTGCGTGTCTGCCTGTCCCTGGGGTGTCCCCTGGGTGTCCTCGGGGTGTCCCCTGAGTGTCCCCGGGGTGTCCCCTGAGTGCCCCCAGGGTGTCCCCGAGGTGTCCCCAGGGTGTCCCCAGGGTGTCCCCAAGGTGTCCCCAGGGTGTCCCCGAGGTGTCCCCAAGGTGTCCCCAGGGTGTCCCCAGGGTGTCCCCAAGGTGTCCCCAGGGTGTCCCCAGGGTGTCCCCGAGGTGTCCCCAAGGTGTCCCCAGGGTGTCCCCAGGGTGTCCCCGGGGTGTCCCCAAGGTGTCTCCAAGGGGGTGGGAATTGCAGGAATGGGATCTTCCTGAGGGTCGTGGGCACCAAGGTGTCCCTATGGAGGTGGGACCACCCCCAGGGTGTCCCCGAGGGATTTTTATGGGATTTTACTGGATTTTCATGGGGTTCTTAATGGGATTTTAAGGAATTTTTAGGGGTTTTATGGGGTTTTGTTGGATTTTAATGTGATTTTGTGGCATTTAACAGGAATTGACATTTTTATGGGATTTTTATGGCATTTCATCAGATTTGAATGGCATTTAATGGGATTTTGATGGATTTTAATGGGGTTTTTTTGGGATTTTCCTGGAATTCCTGCAGCTCCCAGAGATGCACACCAACAGCTGTGACAACATCTCCCAGTTTTCCGTGGATTCCATCACGAGCCAGGAGAGCCGGGAGCCCGTGTTCATCGCGGCAGGGGACATCCGGTGAGAGGGGGGCAAAATCTGGGAATTCTGCCCCGGAAATCCTGGAATTCTGACATTCCCCAAAGCGAAAATCTGGGAATTTTTACTCAGAAAAAA